GTAAATATGACAAATAACAACCATTTTATTTATATTAAAAAGTGATTTACTTCTTTGTATAAAAATTTAATTTAATTTAACTGCAACATTTTTTTTTTGTCTGGTTCGATTCAGAGAATATTCACTCTAACAAATTTTATTATAATGAGTGACATAAACGGTAAATATAGCCAGAGAAGTGATAAAACCAAACAAAAATTTAGGACTCTATCACTTACGTGCGTCGCCTCTGACTTTATTTAAGACATGAACCTGGGGTTCCACGAAAGGCCGTGGATTAGTTGAATATACTGAGGCTGCGGAAAGATGTCCCTTAGGTGGGCATGACGAAGCACTGGGCGTACATCCGGCTATTGTATCGCCCTCCGCCCTTCTGAAGCAATCCGAAACCCTTGTCGCTGGCGAATAATAACAGAGTGGCTAGGCGACTGAAGAATATTTAAGGAAGTACACTGAAGGTTAATCGTCACGGGCCGACGGATGTGCGTGGAGGGCTGATCCGTGAGAATTCTTTCCGTGGCCGTAGTATAGTGAAGTACAACTGCTGGGAGAGTAATTCCTCTGCTGCACCATTAGTGCCCACAGCAGTAAACGTGAGCCAAACTTTCCTTGTACCCCTGGCACTTCGTTTTATGTCTGACCGTAGAGGCAGTCCGTTCTTTAGGGAGCAGCATTTTGGCGCCTCCAATTTCCAGCTTCATCATTCTGAGACGCTTCCTGCTGGGAAAATTGCACCTTTCAGTTGACATTTCTGGCCTCCCAAGTCAAGATTAAGACGCCGTTCCACTTCCCCACGTGTAAGGTTTGTCCTAGCAGTTTCAGTGGCGACAACGTACTGAAATTACATACACAACAGAGTTAAGGGAAGATTGTTGAATGGTTTCTACCATTATTATTAAAATTATAATTTTATTATATAAAACTGGGGGCATGCGGTAGCGTAGTTGGTTGAGGCACTATGCTACAAGCCGGAAGGTCGCGGGATCGAATCCCAATGAGGTGGATTTTTTTAATTTACGTAATCCTTCCAGCCGCACTATGTCCCTGGGGTCGACAGCCTCTAACAGAAATGAGTACCAGGAATATTCTGGGGGGTAAACGGCGCCCGGCGCGTAAGGCTGACAATCTCACCGCTATCTATGAGCCGATTGTCTAGAAAATGTGGGAACCTCAATATCTCACAACCCTATGGGCCTTCATGGCCTGTTACAGGGATAGCTTTACTTTACTTCACTTATTATATTAAATACTTACGGTTGTTTCTTTATCTTTGTTTCAGGTCACCCTCCCAGCATCCGAAGACACTCTGTACTGGTGCAAAATCTTCAAACTTCCCAGCGTAAAGAGAAAGCATCACATGATTAAGGTAAGTTCGTGCCAGAGTTCGGTCCGCGGGGTTCATTTGTCTCCTCACAGCGCTTGCGTGGTCTTTCTGAAAGCTGCCCAATACATGTAATAACATGTCTCCGAAATATAGATACACCTACACTGCTTTTTAAATGGTTAATCTTAATTTTATGACTAACATTGTAAGACAGTAATTTGTTTTGCTGTATTTTGTGAGAGTATGACATTTCTGTAGTATTTTAATGTCTTCCACAATAAAATGTTCTTGATTTTTCGCCCCCGCCCCCCGACTCGGGGTCATAAGTTACAGAAATACGTATATAAAGGCATGTTGACAAGATTTGAGTCGAAAGAATTGCATTTATGAGTGCCAAATTGGAGTGAATCGTCTTTTTGAGGAAAAGCATAGATCGATGCTGTTCAAGGGTACGGTCATGGCGAGAATATTTGCACTGAAGGGAGAATGTGTGACTGGGGGTGGGGGGCGGAGGAGATGGCATAATGAGGAGCTTTTTAATATTTATTCTTAAGTAATATTATTAAAGTGAGGAAATATAAGAGAGTGTAACATGTCGAAGTAAGAAATGTATACAAAGTTTTATTCAGCATATCAAATATAAGAGATCAGTTGAGAAACAAAGGCGTAGATTGGACGGTAATGATAAAATAGTACATAAGTAAAAAGAGCGCATGGATGTGGAGTGAATTCATTCGGCTCAGGGTAAGTTCCAGTCGTGAGTTCTTCTGAGCATGTTAAGGATCCATAATAGGAACTTCTTAATGGGCTCGGCGACTGTCATGTTCTCATGTAGAAGTCTGTTCTTGCTTAGGAATTAAGTAAGTTAAATTCTAAGTACTCTGCTCCGTGGATGAGAGAGCATTCTTCTCATTACAGTACGAACCGCTCCGTGAGCCTGGAAACCGCGCCTACGTACACCACGTGATAGTGTATGAGTGTCAGGGAAGCGAAGCTGAGTTCGAAGTGCACGCCAAAGAGAGGGGGCAGGTGTGTTATCAGTCTCCCATGCCCCCCATCTTCTTCAACTGCAACAACGTCGTCATAGCTTGGGGGATCGGTTCGGAGGTAAGTGTTGCCAAAGCTCACACAATAATTTATTCCACTTGAATTTAAACCAGTTAAGAGCGCGTTATTTTGGGATGTGATATGTTGTTTGATATATATTNGTATGTATTTACCAAAGATCACTGTGTCTTATGACAGAAGCAAGTATGATCCACATATAAACAAATTCCGTGGCTCGAGTCCGCAAGCGAACTATACCGACCGAGCGACCGCCGCTTGTCGTCGAAGTTAGTGCTAACTTTAGCGGGTAGATGGTGTCGCGTGGTCAGCGCAAAACTATAGTTCGCTGGCCTCCTAACCGTTTAACAAAAAGTCTAGAATATACCATCGTCCACGAGAAAATACAAGATTGCAACATCTGACTTCGTGATATAGCTTATCACTTGAATTGATTTAACCTTGTTTTACTTCAAAACTCTTGTTTTCTAATAAGTTATATATTTCATTGTAATTTTTGTATCATGTGTTTTATAATATGATAATTGTCAAGTATCCGGACTCACTTCGCAATTGCAGTTCACTAGTGTGAACTTGATGATCCTGTATTTGCCTGATGACGCCTATTAATAGCCGAAACATGTAGCAAAGCTGATTTAGCCTTGAACACCGTATTGTTGTGTTGTGGCGGTCTTAATAAAGAATTGTAACTATATTATAAATGTCCTTGAGACTCCGTACTGTATACATTTAGTTAAGTTTCGTCTGTATTAATATTTTGCTTGGACAAGGAAATAATTTTCTATAAACGGACTGGAATATGTTTCGTGGTCCTTGAAATATATGTTTTGTGTGTGTCCACGTCTCGGTCCGTTTTTTGTTGTCCACTTGACTGGGACCGCCTGCCCCGCTCACGGCTGTAGTTACTATAGTAATTCTAGAGTAAACAACCGTTGGACGTGCCTTTTTCGTCACGGCGTCGTGGATTGTTGGGCGTTTAGTCGAGCGGATCAGAGAGTCTCAGTTGTGGAACGAAACACATCGTCCGTTCACAAAGGGGAGCGGGGGTTGTGATATGAATACAGGTCTACCAACTTCGCTCAACATTTCCCACATAAATGAGTTAGCCAAACGAGGCGTTTCATGCAGTCACAAAGCAGGTTAACCAACTAACTGGACGGTGAGGGGCTAATAGTTGCTCAACCATTCAAGGAATTCTTCACCTTTTATTGTTCACGATAATTGATTACTGCGTTCAGTTTTATTTCCTGATCCCAATGACTAGTCTTCACTTTGCATACCATTTCCTTAAGATCTGTTTCAATATTATCTTGCCATCAATGTCTACGGCTGCCAGGTGGTCGTTTACTTCAGGTCTTGAGACCAGAAATTTCTTTGCACTTGTCCTATGCGTGTTACACGCTTCACCTCTCATTTTTTCAATGTCTCTTCCAGCCCGTTCGGGGCCTTGGCCTCTTATTCGGTCCCCTTAATCATTTTTCCCCGACCGTGGGACTCTTGGGCGAGTGATCATCCCGTCGCAAGTCCGCTACCTAACACAGGGCAACACAAACACTAAACATCCATGCCCTGAGTGGGATTCGAACCCACGATCCCGGTTTCCGAGCGAGGGAAGACAGTTCATACCTTCGACCGCGCGACACTCCACCTCTGACGCTCCTTGATTTGGTGTGAGGAATAAAATTATGCTGCGGCCATTATGCAACATGTTTCTATCTTCTGTCACTTTCTCCCTCTTCTGTCCAATATCCTTCTCAGCACCCCGTACTCAAACGTGATATACGAAGTCTGAAAACCTCAAATGACTAGCACAGGAGTACGAGGGTTAGTTTCATTAGACATGCTAGAAGTCGGGAGAACTTGAAGTAGGGCTTCAACTCGTGCGTAACGTTTCCCAGCTGCCAGCTCCACTTCACAGTTTGTGCAATACCGGTATCTGGAAGTGTCACAGGTTTCCTCTTCCGTCGAGCCGACATTTCAATCCTTTCGTAGCCTGAATGCTGACTGCGGCAGCCCGCGATACAAACACGGAAATCGCACTTCGCGGGAGGTGAGGGGTGACGTCACAGTCACAAGAGAATGACGACATTCGCTACTCGGTATCTGTTCGTAAACTTACAAACATCACGCTAGCATTATACATATAACGTTATAATTAGGAAATAGTGATATTATAAACCAGGTGGGACTGAAATTAAATGGGATCAGCTGTTGGCCTATGCCCATGATGTGAATCTACTGGGTGATAATGTAGATACCATAAAGAGAAGCACACAGACTTCAATTGACGCAAGTAAGGAGGTTGGAATAGAAGTAAACACAGAGAAAAACTAAGTATATGTTGCTGTCTCGTCACCAAAATGCAGGGCAAGACCATGGCATAAAGATAGGAAACAGATGTTTTGAAAATGTGGCACAGTTCAGATATTTGGGAACGACCATAACAGTCGAAACCTGATTCAGGAGGAAATTAAGAGGAGACTGAACTCGGGTAATGCTTGCTACCATTCAGTCCAGAACCTTTTGTCTTCTCGTCTGCTGTCCAAAAACATAAAAATTAGAATATACAAAACTATAATTTTGCCTGTGGTTCTGTATGGGTGTGAAACTTTGTCTCTGACATTAAGGGAGGAACACAGACTGAGAGTGTTTGAAAACAGGGTGTTGAGGAGAATATTTGGACCGAAGAGAGATGAAGTGGCAGGAGGTTGGAGAAAACTGCATAATGAGGAGCTTTATAACTTGTACTCTTCTCCAAGTGTAATTAGAATGATCAAGTCAAGGAGTATGAGGTGAGCAGGGCAAGTAGCACAAATGGGGGAGAAGAGGAATGCATATACGATATAGGTGGGAAATCCGAAAAGAAAGAGACCACTGGGAAGACCAAGGCGAAGGTGGGTGTACAATCTTAAAATGAATCTTAGAGAGATAGGATGGGAAGGTATGGATTGGATTGATCTGGTTCAGGATAGGGACCAGTGGAGGGCTCTTGTGAACACGGTAATGAACCTTCGGGTTCCATAAAATGCTGGGAAGTTCTTGAGTAGCTGCAGAATTGGCGGATCCTCCAGAAGGGCTCAGCTCCATGAGTAAGTAAGTAAGTAAGTGATATTATAAAAATGTTATCAGCTCCATCCAGTGTGACTGATAAATGCCTCTTTCTCCTATTTAATCTTTCATCCTTGACATGTTTCGGTCTGAGAGACCATCTTCAGAAGGATATATGAATATGGGCAGAAACTACTATTACAGTATGATTAGGCAATGTCAGTACATACATGCAGTAGCATCACAATGCTATGAATATGAATCTAGTTCCTGCCTACAGATCCAGAGGTACCGGATTCGATTCCCGGCGCTACCAGATTTTCTGAGAAGTAGTGGGTCTGGAACGGGGTCCACTCAGCCTCATGAGGATAATTGAGGAGTATTTCACGGAAATAGCGGTTTCGGTCTAGAAAACGGAGATTAATGGCCGTGGGGATTCGTTGCGCTGACCACGTGACACCCTTTATCCTCAAAAGTTGGCACCAACTTCGCCGGCAAGCGGCGGTGGCTCGGTCGGTATATTTCGCTTGCGGACTACAGGCCACGGAGTTTTTTTTGTGTGATTCTAAGAATGAGCTATGGTTACTTCTCTAAACAGCTTTAACCTGTTCACATTTGTTATGCAGACACAATTTGTTTTATGTGAAGAAGGAACTGAAATTTGTAAATATATATTTTAGATGTACTTCAATCTTCAAAATGTTAAGACCTCCTGAATAATGTTCAGCCCAAAATTGTGTGAGACCCAGATACTGCTGTAAAACTCAAAAAGTTGCTGCTACGAATAAGTAGAAATGTTTCATGTTCTGTATCGAATTTCTGCCGAGATGAGTAATGGAGGGTTGCCCGTCAAGTTTACACGTTGTTCTGGTTGCATACTATCGGGCGGGCATTGCAGCTCTGCCAAGTATAGAGCCTTTAATGTTAGCAGCCAAGACTAATGACAAGTATCATCAGCACTAGAGTCGCCACCGGCTGCAGTCATTAACCCAGTTGTGCCACTTCTGCCACCCTAACCCCCCCCCCCCGTGACTCGTCAGTAAGATGCCATTTCCAAGACACTAATTACGCAACTTGTGTTTTAGGAGTAAAGAGACAGAGAAGACAATGCTCATTGTGCCCTGATCTAACATATTTCCTTCTGCTTATATTCTATAAAATTACTGTACCCTTCTCCACTCTTTCGCCCGTCCGGCGTGTGTAGATAATAGCTAAAGAGGGATATGATTAGCGAAGGTCTTCATGTCTCGAAGAAAGCCACAAAGTTATCTCACCGCAAGAGATCAAAAATTTAACCGAACTGGATGTAAGATATGAGATTCTCACTGCTGAATGAATACTATTACAGGCCTCTGGGTTGTGACTGGGGCATAGTTTGGTCGAACCTGAAATTTGTAGCCTGCAGTACACGAAACTTCAGTGTCCCACCACAGAATTCAGACACGCGGTGACATGGACTTGTTACAATTGTACGTCACGGATTCACGAGAAACTTTATCTGTAGCCAATAATAATGTCAGAACTCGGTACGTTACTGTCAAAACAGTATCGCATCGCAGAATGAGGAAAAACTCCGTAGTTTTAGTCCGCAAGCGAACTGTATCGACCGAGCGACCGCCACTTGTCAATGAATTTTAGTGCCAACTTTAACGGATAGAGGGTGTCGCAACGAATCCCCACGGCCGTTAATTTCGGTTTTCTAGACCGGATGGCAGAACGAGGACTGGATACATAATTCACTTTAAATATCTGAGGGCAAGAACCTTACAGAAGAAATAAATGGGAAGATAATATTAAAATTTATATTCAAGAATACAGTAGTGTTAGAATGTGGATTGGATCCATTTGATTACAAATAATGTCTGTTGTGAAAACTGTTATATTTCGGCTTCCGTAAAATGTGTGAAACCCTTTGACCAGCAAAGCGAGGTTCAGGCTGTTAAGCTGAGCCTTTTCCCATGTAGTAAGTTTAATCAGGTGCGACTGTATTTTCCAAAGTGTGCTTGCAAGTGCACGTCTTTCACGTTTCATGGTTCCAGTTATTCTAGTGGCTCCGAACGCGCACTATCACACAGCGTGAGATCTCTTTTTACATGCATACAGCCGTTTCTTGTCGTACTTAACACCCATCAACGTATTTATCCTGAGAGGTTTCTTTTCTTTTTAATTCGCTTAGTGGGGGGGAGTCCAACTGGGTCCACTCGGTACGGCGGCCACTGATTGGCCTATTGTAGCCTGCCCCGGGTGATTATGATGATGGAGAATTTGGTGGAATGAAGATCGGCAGGGGAAACCGAAGTACTCGGAGGAAACCCGCCCCAGCG